TGAAACGGAGGTGTAGGCTGCCAGAATTCAGGCAACCAAAGGCAATAGGATAGACAGGAGTGGGAAAAGTGTACCGTATTGTGTTGCTTGTCTACCTTGTCGGCTTGTCTAGGCCTCAGGCAAACTCTCCACTCGCTTGGGCCGAGAACTGTGTGTGTTTGTGTGTGTGTGTCTGTGGGCTGTGAAGAGTCTTGATTGGCGGGACTCGGACCTGGGGTAGAAGAGACGTCGATGCGGTTTGTGCATTGAGTGGTCGGTAAGCCGATGAAATCGAGTCGCTTTGGTCGCATCTCCACCGGCTTGACGAGGCAAAAACTGGATTTTTCCGACACGCCTTCGTCGGACTCTCCATCTCCACAATTGTCCACCTTCGCGGAGATGGAAAGGAGACCGTTAAACATTTGGAAACTGCTCAGACAGTAAACCGCTTGTCAGACAGGAAGCCAAACGACTGCGAATCTGTCTGGTCCGCCCACAAATTGTGCCTGGAGAGGCTATGAAATGGTCGTCTGTCTAGTCGGCGGGAGAATAAAAGAGAAAGTTCTCGTCGAGACGAGTCGAGTTGAGTTAAATCGAGTCTATTCAAGTCGAGTGTAATGTATACTAAATAGTCCAGTGTACGGTTTTGTAATGTTATGCAATGTAATGTAATGAAATATAATATTATATAATGTAATCTAATGTGATGCAACGAAAATTAATATAATATGGTGTAAATATATTTTAAGTGTAATATAAGTGTAATGGAAATGTGATGTAAATGTAATGTTGATGTAATGTTAATGAAATGTTGATGGAATGTTAATGTAATGTTAATGTAATGTTAATTTAATGTTAATTTAATATTAATGTAATGTTAATATAATGTTAATTTAATATTAATGTAATGTTAATGTAATGTTAATTTAATATTAATGTAATGTTAATCTAATGTTAATGTAATGTTAATGTATTGTTAATGTAATGTTAATGTAATTTTAATGTGATGTAAATGTTATGCAAATGTAATGTTAATGTAATGTTAATTTAATATTAATGGAATGTTAATGAAATGTTAATTTAATATTAATGTAATGTTAATTTAATGTTAATTTAATATTAATGTAATGTTAATGTAATGCAAATGTAATTTTAATGTAATGTTAATGTAATGTTAATGTAATGTTAATGTAATGCTAATGTAATGTTACTGTAATGTTAATGTAATGTTAATGTAATGTTAATGTAATGTTAATGTAATGTTAATGTAATGTTAATGTAATGTTAATGTATTGTTAATGTAATGTTAATTTAATGTTAATTTAATGTTAATTTAATGTTAATTTAATATTAATGTAATGTTAATATAATGTTAATTTAATATTAATGTAAT